AAATAATGCTGTAAGCAAAAACAATGTGTATGGGAATGAATGATATCCCTCTAGCTACAAGAACAACAGATTTTTACTTTCTTCAACCTCTCAAATTTTAGGGGGAAAAGATTTTCAGATGAAAAATGATGCCAAAGTCTTCCATTTTCACTTGGAATTAAACCCGTCACCTATAAATAAGCCACAAAACGACTGATCTTATTGGAAAGAGAAAACCATTATGTATAATCAAGAAAAGTATAAAGAAAATACTAACACCGAGATTTTCACAATAGCCCGTCGCGCGAGGCATAGCGACAGCACCCACAGAACGCATCAGAGATGAACGTTTACATATTGATAATCTTATTATGGATCAATAAAATGTTTCGTCACATCAGATCACATACACAGAAACACGAAAACAATGTAAGTTCATCCGACATACGTAAGAGTACTTCTCTGGAAGCCATATTTCAATGAACAAAGAATAAGTTGTAAAACTTGCGTCTGATGGTGTTTTCAGCACCAAGGACAGACCCAATTCAGGACCGATGCACACCAATTCTTCCGCGACAGGGAAAAAGTGCGCGGTACAAAAAGTGACGTAAGCTTTCGATGGTTCAGCTTTGAGTTCATATTTCTTATGATTCTGCTACAAAATGGCATTAAATACTAATTTGGTTGAAAAGTGAAAGAGTGGATGCGTTTTGGGTGATTTCGGGCCCGAGGCTTACTTCCGGGTGTCCTTCCGCCTTGGTTGCGGTGCTTCGGTTAGACCCAAATTTACGCGATTAAAATCGGAAACTCGAGAACTTAGTAAACATTCAAAAAAAGATGTGATTCATCGTTTTCATTCACATATTTTACTGATTTTTTAAAAAATAAAATTCACTGATTTTCCTTCCAAATCATTAAGGCAGAAACTTTTTTTATGGATTGACAGTTTTCTGGTACCCCTGCAATAGCATCGCACTTGGTACAGTCCGTTCATTTCGCACATGTCGCACTGAGAGAATGTTCTTGAGTTCCCCCGACCCCGAATTTTTGGGACAAAAATTTCAGTTTCTTGTTCCCGAATATTCTTCCTTTCTGCGTTTTCGGATACCATATGGAGTATTTGGAACTTCTCTGTGGATTTTTGGCCGGTAGTGTGTCTGTTTGGAGGAGAGAACCTGTATTTCCTGACTGGACATGTGCTTGTGGGGAAGAAGACAAAATGGCCACTGTTGTGAGGACTGCATTTCTGGTGGTGAGGGGAAGACTTCGTAGGAGACAGAAAGGTAAAATTCCAACATATTCTGTTAAAATTTGTGAACATGAAGAACATGGCAAATTGTATTGTCGAAAAATCTGTAGTTTTATGAACATTTTGCACTATCTTTTATGTGCGAGTATTTGAATGATTCTTGTTTGCTTACTTTTTTTGTAAAGTTTGACCATACAAGTTTACTTCATAGTCGTCCTTCGGTAATAGAAAAACAAATAGCTTCCGTGTATTTGTACAATATCTTTGAAGAGAGAAACACAGAAAAAGTAAGAAAATTTGACTGCCTCGTGGCGAGGGGACCACCTGTGTAACTGCGCCACACGTGGATATAATTGTTCCCGCCTTGTTTCTGCACTGTAGATGCTTATTACTGCTAAACTAATTAGCGCTAAGGTCTTGTAGTCTTTTTTTTTCGTATTTTTTTTTTTTAAAGAGATTTTGATAAATTTCAAATTTAGTACTACATGTAGCAGATTTTGAGTTCCAACTTGCATTTAAAGGCGGTCTTGGCGGCAGATGCTTTTGCAGTAATTTTTCCATAATTTATTTGCAATCTAGTCCACAAAGGCTACTTTTAAGGTAACTTTTCTTACTGCTAGTTAAGTTATTTGTTGTTATTCAAGACAAGTGTGTAACATAGATGATATTATGTTGTATAGTTAGGTCACTGCTGACTGATGGTGACTCCTGTCTGAACCTGACAAGAGAAGATTGGACCAGACCAGACCTGTTTTGAAGACCCCAGAAGAATCACGGTTAGTTGAGAAAAATCTAAATTCTGCAATTTACTTACCATTTACCTGATTTTTTAACAAATATGTAACATATAATGTTGTATAGTTAGGTGGCTGCTGATTGATACAGTAGTGAGGACTCCTGTCTGAACCTGACAAGAGAAGATTGGACCAGACCAGACCTGTTTTGAAGACCCCAGAAGAATAGTAGTAGGTGAGAAAAATCTGATATCTCCATTTTACCTACCATTTACTTGGTATTATTTGAGACAACTGTGTAACATCTAATGTCTGTATAGTTAGGTGGCTGCTGACTGATGCAGTAGTGAGGACTCCTGTATGAAAATGAGAAGATTGGACCAGACCAGACCTGGCGATTTGAAGATCCCAGAGGAATATCAGGTGAGAAAAATCTGATTTCTGTATTTTACCTATCATTAATATACTTGGTATTATGTGAGACAAGTGTGCAACTTCTAATGTCTGTATAGTTAGGTGGCTGCTGACTGATGCAGTAGTGAGGACTCCTGTCTGAATCTGACTAGAGAAGTTTGGACCAGACCAGACCTGGTGATTTGAAGACCCCAGAAGAAAATTAGGTGAGAAAAATCTGAAATCTGTATTTCACCTACCATTTACTATAGCTAATGATGTTATTTGAGACAAATATGTAACATATAATGTTGTATAGTTAGGTGGCTGCTGATTGATGCTGACTCCTGTCTGAACCTCACAAGAGAAGATTGGACCAGACTAGACCTGTTTTGAAGACCCCAGAGGAATATTAGGTGAGAAAAAAAAGATTTCTGTACTTTACCTACCATTTACTTGGTATTATTTGAGACAAGTGTGTAACTTCTAATGTCTGTATAGTTAGGTGGCTGCTGACTGATGCAGTAGTGAAGACTCCAGTCTGAACCTGACAACAGAAGATTGGACCAGACCTGATGATTTGAAGACTCCAGAAGAATATCAGGTGAGAAAAATCTAAAGTCTGCAATTTACTTACCATTTACCTGGTGTGTTTTTGAACAAATATATAACATATAATGTTGTACAGTTAGGTGGCTGCTAACTGATGGTGACTCTTGTCTGAACCTGACAAGAGAACAGAGCAGACCAGGTGCACGAGATTTGAAGACTCAAGAGTGAGATGACAGCATCCACAGGTGAGATGACACTTAAACAAAATTCATATGGTTCTAATATGTACTCTGCAACTGTCTTCACTTAGCACTTGCACAGAAAAAATCCTTTAATGTCAATTCAGTGTTTTTTTTGCAACACACTAATTATCCTTTCATATTGTTTAAAAGGTGTGTCCTGAGGGTCAGCTGTCCTGACTGGACATGGGAGAAACCAGTCTAAAACAGACAAGTTCAGCAAACCAGTCGACTTCAAGACACAGAGTGAAGTGAAGAATCTGTACAGGTGAGACAATGGCTCACAACTTGGATCCTTTATTCTTGGATAATGTGAAGAATTCTGAGGATGAACATGTTTCCTGTAACCAGTAGTGATGTGTAGAAACAACTTTGTATAGTCTAAAACTTTCTATGTCTATTGAAGTAAAGGGATAGTTCATTTATGTGATCTTATCGTTACTTAGCTCATTCAGTGTTGCCTGGAGATGTTTTTTTTTGCATCACAATAAGTATCCTTTCAATTTTAAACAATTTCTAAAATCAAATCTTGCGTGTTGTGTGACACATTCTAGCAAGGCTAGTTGCTGCCATCAATATACTAACTTTTGTTTCTCTGTCTTCAAGATGTGGACCTGGAGACAAGGTTGTAGCTTGGTGGGAGGAAGAACTGGACGTTTATTGGCAGAGCTGACTGTGAAAGAAGATGGGGAGGTGTGAGTATGGTTTCTTTGTTAACAAAGACAACACTTCACACACTTTCAGTACATGCACTCACACTCACACTTTCCTTCCTTTCTTTTATGCCCACTTCATTCACTCTACTGTCTCGGGGTCTGCATACTCTTTTATGGGAGCCATTTTACCCCATCATTAATCGTAGCTGGCCACTTTTGTTTGATGTTAACCAATTGTCTGAAAATTCTTCCCATCATGTAATTCGTCACCTTAATTGCTAATGTTATTTGTTAGATTGAATTTATCTTAAGATTCATAGAAAAATTCTTTGTATCGTCAACACCAGATTGGCAGACATCCAGTGAATACAAATTAAAGAACATTCCAAAGAAGTCGCTCCCAAAGCCTTATACAAGAACTTACAACTTAATTTACTATATGAAGAGTTAATTGCAGGCCAGCCTGAATTTTCTGTTAAGCCTTGTCGGTCCTCCTAAATTTAATTTTGCCAGGATTCCCCCTGCAGACCCTCTACTCTCATCACATTTTTATTTCTTCTGTCAAACCTACTTATAATTGCACAGTTCATCACACCTTCCTCTTTTATCCCTTTGGTTCCCACTTTCACCCACTCCCTTAAAACTCTTTGCATGCCGCCCCTGGGCATTTCTGTTTTAGACCCGTCACGTAACTTTGTCTGCAAATTGCACGGTACATCACACTTTTCTAGACTTGTTTTCCAACACATTGGACCTTTACACGC